TTTTCCGGGATAAAAAGTACCCTAATATTTTTAATCCAGACTTCCAACTTTACGTCTGCAAAACTTCAAAGCATTCGGTTTAGTAGTTACGGCGTGAAAGTGGAACAAACAAACAAACAAACTCACTTTCCGATTTATAATATTAGTAAGGATGTTAAAGTTAATATAAAGTAATAATAGACTGCCTCGTTGGACAAGTGGTCGCAAATGCGAGTGCCGGGCAAAAGGGGTCTCGGGTTTGATTCCCGGGTCGGGCAAAGTATTAGGTACAGGGTTTTTAAAAAATTCTCACTAATAGCACGGAGTCTGGAAATGAGCCCTGTATATGGCAATAGGCTCACCCCCTATTATATGAGACTCATAACATAAATAGTGAAAAGTGGGTGTTACATTGTACAGTGGCATGATGTGCACCTCTACCTACCCCTTCGGGAATAAAAGGCGTGATGGTATGATGGTATGTTTCTCGCTTCGATTTTACATACTTCGATTTTACTTCGGACAGAAACGAGAGGGATATACTAAACTTTCGCTACTGGACTTTTTAGTCCAGTAGTAGTAGTAGTAGTAGTAGTCCAGCGAGAAGTAGTAAGTAGGTAATTAGGAACTTACAATTAAGTTAAGGCGACGTATAGAGACAATGTTTTTATAAAACAAAAAATAGAAACATTACCTAAGTAAGAAGTTATGTTAACACCTACTTACTCATCAATTTAAAAACAAACCCAGGTGGCTTACTCTTGAATCCAATTCCGATCGATCGACATTGGTATTGCGACTCTTGAGTTGCAACACTAGCGCCCATTGCATCCGTATTGCGTGGATGTTGAATGAACTAAATGGTATTGAGTTTGGCTTTATATCCCGTACTCTAAATGCTATATTAACAGCTACGATTGTTGTTGTATAGTTTTGACATTGAATAATTATTGAGATTTTATTAGATTGAAATTGCGTTGACATTGAGATTGGTTTCAAGAGTAAGCACCCAGGTTTTACTTTACTACAATATTCAATTTTTCGGAACATCCCTACTAAAACATGTTATAATTCCGAAACACCCTGTCTGTTAGTAGAGTTTAACAAATAGACAGGTCGCGACATCTAGCGAACTACGCTCGAACTAATACAGCGGGACAGACCGACGGAAATAACTTTACCATATGGACAGAATAACGATAATCTGTTCATTAGCTACGAGCAAAATGCAAATAAATCTGTGATGGCATCATAACTACAAATATTTTATAGATCTAAGAGTTGTATATTTGAAAGTTTGTTCATTTTTGACTGTTATCCTCTGTTACTGAACACGTTTCTATAAGGTCTTAAAAGTATTTACCGGATCTAAGACATGACATTTTCGTTTCCTTATGGTAGACTGAATTTTAGTTGGTCGCTAAGTTGATACAGTGTTCTGATCCAGATTAGGGTAGGTACAGGAGTAAGGAGTCGAAAAAAGGTACAGTCTACCTCTAATGTTGCGGCATGGAATTGCGGATGGCAACTACCCCATAAGAATAAATTAAAAAAACAGTTATGTATTTGCAAAATATAAATTTCCGAGAAGAGATAAGTATTTAAATGTTTCTTATCGCTAGTTAGGTATGTTATTCGTCCAGACTTTGTGCAGTTTACTGACAACTTAATAATTGAACAACATTTAACATAACATCACGCCTTTTTATCCCCGAAGGGATAGGCAGAGGTTGCACATTTCGACACTTTATGCCACTATACCATGTAACACCCACTTTTCACTATGTTATGAGTCCCATGTAATAGGGGGTGAGCCTATTGCCATATACTGGACACATTTCGAGACTCTGTGCTACTACTGAGATTTTGAAAAACCCAGTAATACTTTTCCCGACCCGGGTATCGAACCCACCGTACCCGGCAGTCGCACTTGCGTCCACTCGGCCAAAGAGGTAGAGGCAGCACCATAATTGAACAATTTACGTAAATAATATTTTTTTAGGGATCAAACTGACGTATCTATACTCTGTCAAGAAAGTACCAGGAAAAGATACACAAAATGTCTGTTATTCATCAAAATTTATTTTATCACCTTCAAAGTATGCTCCTTTAGAAACGATACTTGCGTGAACGAATAAACCATTCATCAAAACATTTTTTAAACGCTGCTTCCGGAATTGAGTTCAGTTCTCGCCGCGAATTCTCTTTTATGTCTTCTATCGATTGAAAACGGGTGCCACGAAGTGGTAATTTGAGTTTAAGAAAAAGAAAAAAGTCAGCAGGAGCTATATCTGGTGAATATGGTGGTTGCTGGATGGTATTTGTTGAGTGTTTGGTCAAAAATTCGTTCACAACGATAGCCTTGTGCGAAGACGCAATGTCGTGGTGGAAAAGCCAAAAATTTTCTTTCCACAAATCTGGCCATTTTCGTCGAATTTGCTCTCTTAAACGCCGCATAACGCTCAAATAATATTCTTTATTTACCGTTATATTGACCTTCCGGTGAGAATTCAGATTGCACAACACCGCGATAGTCAAAGAAAACAGTCAACATGACTTTGACTTTTGATCGACTTTGGCGTGGTTTTTTCGGTTACGGTTCAGTTGAAAGGCGCCACTTCGAAGCTTGTTGACTAGTTTGCATGTCAAACTCGTAAACCCTGCGTTTCATGAATATTGGGTCCGAACTGACTCGTTCTAGCATGTCCTCAGCGACTTTCATGCGATTGAGCTTTTGAAGAAAATTCAGATCTTTTGGGACTAGCCGAGCAGCAACATGTTTCATACCCAAATGATTAGTTGAAATGGTACGGATTGACTCGTGAGATTCAGAAAGTATGGCCGCTATCTCTCTCAGACTTGAATGAGGATTTTCAGTCACTATTTCCTTAACTTTTGCGATGTTAGCTTCAGTTGCAGACGTTGACGGCCTACCAGAGTGAGGCAAATCTTCCATCACATCTTAACCGCTTTTGAGCGCTTTGAACCACCCATATGCACGAGTTTTTGATAAAGTTGATTCACCTTAAGCCTTTTGTAATATTTTCAGTGACTCTGAACACGAAATTCCATTGGCGATGCCAAATTTAAGACAAACTCTTTGTTCGATATTTTTTGTCCATTATGAAATTCGCAATACACAATATATATGATATTACTAAAACCAGCACTGTATTTAATATAAATAACAGATGCAACTCGAACTCTAAACTAAAAAACAGTTGTGCCAATCTAACAATTACAAAAAAACAAAAATTTGAATTTAGAACCATAAACAAATCATCCATCCCCGATACTTTTTTGACTGTATTAAATACACAGTCAAAAAAGATAGCCGAAAATATTATTCAAGATTTCAGAAACCTGGAAAAATGAAAAGACTTGGTCCTATTTCTTGGCAACCGAGTCTCTGGACCGATTTTTCAATCATTAGTAAATTCTTGACATGACAGTTTTTAGTATGCAACAACTGTAAAATATCCAAAGTTATTCCTCAGTTAAAATTTATTAGGCGTTGGTAAAATCAGCCCTTAACGCAACCCGTTAATTACATTTAACCAGTTATCTCGAGCGGAGGCTATGGATAATTTAAAAAAACGTTTCAGAAATACTATCACCAATAAAACTTACAACCCACTTGGATAGGCTACAAATTAAAAAGACTTCATGAATAAAACAAAATACACAACATGACTTAAAAAAATAAACGAATAATGGTTCTCATGCTGAACATTTTTGTTAAAACTCCGAGCAAAAAAAAGATCTCGGAAATATTCGCGAAATAAAATGAAGCGTATTCTATTAAAATGGAAAATATAACAGCATGTGTGTATTTTTTATATGTGAAGAATGAAGAGGTGCGTGTGATGAATCATACTGGCATAAATAAAAAAAAGCAATTACTATTTATGGCTACTGTTGACCGAAGTTGGCGAAAAGTGAATGCTCCAAATTACAATATAATGCTAATGGGGGCTAACGATATATTCCTCACCAGATGACGCAAATATAGGTAGCGCTTTTTTGTCAATCACAGCAACGGTAAATATTTAATGTCCAATTCATCACATTTTCTTTAAAAAAAACCGTTACCCCATACTATGATAATAATATGCTCTTATGTCGTGGGTGCGTTTACAAACATACAAGTTCACGTACCCATGACACCTAGACACATAACACAACACATAGACCAGGAACAGCAATACGTGGATAACACAAAGAGTTGCTCCGAGCGGGAATCGAACCCGCTACACTTTGCGCGGCAGACGGTTGCCCTGCCACCGCACCAACCAAGCGAGGAATCCAATCGTGCAGCCCTTCGAATGATGTGATACTAACAAATGTTCTATTGAACAAAGAACGAGAGGTAGGTACGCTAGCGCCATCTTGAGATCGTGAGCAAAAATACGGTAGGCCCCATTCGGGGTTTGGTAATCGTTGTTTTATGAAAACCTGCTGCTGCAAAAAACTGCGCCAACGCATAATGAACCAATAACATTTACCTGCTCTGCATTGACCAAAATTAAATAATTTAAACTAAATTAAATGAGTAGCGAGAGTGCCGTAGCTTGAACTTATCACAAGTAAATGTTTTCATTAGATAATACTATACATAAACATTAAATTTACCACGAACAGATAAATGGCTCAACCGTGACCTCTCGCCACACACTAAAATGATAAAACAATAAAATATTTTCTTTCATTCTTAATTAAGAAACTACTTAAACTTTATTTTCTAACGATTATGTATTATCGCAGCCGCGTATACCAATTAAATCCATTCACAATCAGCTCTGTTTTATTTTCTTGTTTTATAAATAAAAACTGCAAACGTTTTTGTATGAAACAAAAGGATAGCCTATGATCCCACAAACAATAAAAGTCTAAAAATTTATCATGATACTGGATAGTCGCGATAATCTGACACTCGTGCGTGTCGTGAACCCTAACAGAATAATTAGTAGTTACCAAACAAACTATTAGCTATGTAAAGTGTGTTATCATATTAATTGATGCCGCTGGTGATACACACCACAGTGGACCTCTACATTACTGCATGTATTTGGCCTGAGTCACACGTGTGCACCCGAATAATTATTATTCGTTGAACTCACGCCACCCCACTCACTGCGTGTACGCTTACAGAAAAAAGTGCACGCTTTATATTTAATAAAAATTGCAAATATTAATCATCGGCACGCAAACCCTTGGTATTGGTAGTGCGTTGTTAGCGCGGCGCATGCGCTAGACAGTTCAGTGGCGACCAGTTTTAAATTTAGATTCGTGTCGCCGGAATTTCGCTGGCCTATTTAGACACCGCAAACGGCAGATTTTAACTGAATTCAAAGGTGCAATTGTTATTGATGTTCATTTAAATTATTCGAGTCAGTGATTTATCAGTGATGGTTTGATGTGAAGTGAAGTGAGATCTGTCATCGTACTGCGTGCACGCGTGGTTATGAGGACACATTGCTGACTGTACTACACCAACATGTTCGGGAGAACAATCCTAGTGTTGTTGTTGTTGTGGACACAAGGTATTGTGGCTCGTGCACTTTATTCTGCCGTAGTTTTAGTTGACGTGGCCGGTGCACTCCGGCACTATGAGCGTAGGTGCATGTATGACGTTTAAATATACGTATACATCTGTACATATTCAATTCTATAGCCATCGTAGTAGTTCCATTCTACTTTCTATGAATGAGTCATAGTCAATTATACTCACTGACAAAAGCCGCGTGGTTTATCTGTCTGATGCCACATATTGCAGGCTTTTCATAAATTAGTTGAGAGAACTCAACCCTACATCATTTATTTATAATGTTGCTGAAAACAATGAAAGCCTACAGAGTAACAGTCTAATTAGTGTTTTATAGAATAGACATCGACTGAGCAGTGTACTCGGCGAACAGAGAGTATTGAGCTCTTCTGTTAATTAATACAGGCTGTAACAAAAACGTTTACCTTTTTCTATCCATGCTGTACATGAGCACCGTGATGTGGTGATATTTGCTTTGTATTTTTTTCGAATTGTTATATTTTTATCGTGGAACAGCATTTTATTTTATTATAATTATATGTATCGTGTATAAATAGTATCATCTGACTATTGCACTTGCAACAACAGCAAATTTATAAAATCTATAACATTATATTTTATTATTTATTCCATACCAATACGATTTTTTTGTTTTCTCGACACCCGATTAATCCTAAATTGTGATAATGCATAATATGTATTATTTAATGCCCAGTATACTGTAATTTATTTTATCCGGGAACATACTTAAGAATAATTCTGCACTATCTTCCAGATGCAGTTAGGAGTTTGCGTCTCGTGGAACTCCGTGTACCGACACACGAGCCAGAAGGTGGTATGGCTCTTCTTGGCTGCCAGTACGACCTAGAAGGGGACACTTTGTATTCTGTCAAATGGTACAAAGATGGACGCGAGTTCTACCGCTTTGTGCCTAAAAATGATCCTCCTGTGTATTACTTCCAAACACCTGGAGTAAACGTTGATGTAAGTAATATTTATAATGCACAATAAGAACCTTAAAAATGATTATAATATATGAACTAAAGACAAACGAAAAGTAAAAACTAAACGGAAAAAAATAACTATTATTGGTCAAACATATGTACTTATAGCTTACACACCCACTGATAGGTTAGAAGTCGGTGCCACAAGTTTTAAACAAAATTATTCATTAAATCCTTAATACGTACTTAACTCCTCGACAGAGGAGTTGCGATACGAGCAGTCGGCCCATCACATACTCTGGGAGTGTGATCTCTGGCAATATGAACGTAACACTATGTTAAATAATTTAATTGTTTCGTCAGGTGTAGCTTATTATACGGACCTTGTGGAATCTAGAACGAATTTCCGTGCGTTTAGGCGTTTTTGCCATACCTATTATTGGAAGCAAGTATAACAGCTCACACATAGGACCCACTTAGTTTTTAGTCAAATTTCCGTGGTGCTTGGCGACTGGGCTTCACCCAGTTGTACAGTCTCTTCTTTGTGCCTTTAGGCTTAATTCATTCTGTCTGCAGTAATTCACCGAGGGAAGTGAAAACCATAGTTTTTCTTCTTCTCCTCTTATAATATCTTCTGATTCACTTCGTTGCGGGAACCAAGACAGTTACTCATGTCCCTGGGACGCGCCGGACTTCAGTGTTCCGGTGTTTTCATGGTTGTATCTACTGTAGATCCTGGCTTACAGGAGTTGCAGCGGTTTTGGGAGGTTGTGGCGGGCCTGTCCCCTCAAAAAAAAAAAAAAAAAATACGTACTTAACATTATTAGGCTGTTTACAATTTTATTATGGATTATACCGGCTGAGACCATGAACTACGTTATATTTTGTTATGGGTTTGTGGCACCGACTTCATCATGTTATAATCATGTTACAACATAAAAAATGTCCAGGGAAACAGAAAAGCTTTCTATTCACTAGAACTCGTGAATAGGTTTAACCTGTTGAAAATTGTTGTAAATTATCCCCTAAATTTTTTCATACAAAAGTATTCTCTTACATTGGAAATAAGGTCTATAATGTAGTTAGTGGAGAGCGGTCACTGGTGACCGTTTGAGAATATATGGGTACAACTTTATTATTATTGTTATAGAATAGTCTGTGGCTAGGTGAGATAAAAACTTCTTTTGCTAACCTTAATAATATAATTTGTTTTACGACTTTCTCTTTTTAAGCACAATCGGATGCTGAAGAACTGTTAGGTTATTGTATGTAAATTTCACGTGATTTCATGCAGACAATAATGTATTCGAACATAACATAACATCACGCCTTTTATCCCCGAAGGGGTAGGCAGAAGTGCACACAGAAGTAACACTCACTTTTCACTATTTATGTTATGAGTCCCATGTAATAGGGGGTGAGCCTATTGCCATATACCGGGCACATTTCCAGTGCTACTACTGAGATTTTTTTTAAAAACCCAGTAATACTTTGCCCGACCCGGAAATCGAACCCGAGACCCCTTGCCCGGTAGTCGCACTCGCGACCACTCGGCCAACGAGGCAGTCGAGTCGATGTATTCGAAGATTTTAGTAATTTATCAGCTACTTATATTATTTTACAATAGATACTTCCCTAACATTTAACTAAGCCATGTAACTGAGTGAAGAAACAAGTGACAGATTTCATCTTAATGCCAAGCGAGTACATACCAATCAATAAAGCATCAAATAAATTATTCATGAACGTTTTCATTGCACTGTGAAAGACAAGTACCTATTGCAATATGATTTTGAATATAAATAATATTACAAATATTCGAAGATTTATGATACTTAAAATGGTTTACTAGGACTAATCACGAATTCGCAAGTCACGTGCTCGGCAATGCGACTGTTGATCTGAATTTTTGAGGTTTCCCGTTGTGTCAGCAAAAAATATTTATACGTAGATACCTACCTAACAAAACAACACACTCTAATTTCAATTTACAACATGTTGTTTAGTAGTATACAGCTTAGAATCGTGTCTAGACTTTGGTAAAAGGATTGATTTATTACTCAAAATTATCTAACAGTGGGTGGACCAATCTACAGTAACATTATAATTATCTATCCTATAGGTATCTATTATACACTAGCTGTGCCCGCGACGTCGTTCGCGTGGAATAGTGATTTATTCCGCTTACCCCGTAGGTGATAGCGTGATAATATGTTACCTTAACGTTGACCTGACGTGTCAGTAATAATCATACAAAATTTAGAGTAAATCCATGCAGAACCTTTTGAGATCATCCCGGAATCACGCCCATTATTTTAACAAAATATTCAATGTACAGTTTTGACCTTTCTACGATTTTATTATCTATTATTACTATTATATTACTATTACTATTACTGTTATACCTACATATTTCTATACTAATATTATAAAAAGGAAAAAAAAATGTTTGAATGTATACCGTATCTATATAACCTTTATATTTCTTTGTGATATCTTCACACAAAACCTGCTATTTAAAATAATTTCAAAAATTCTTTTACAATTTTTCCACTCCGCCACCGCTCCATATGTTTTGTGTTTTTGTTCTTACATAACCTAAAATTTATATCAAAATATTTAACTGTATGTATTGAATAACCACAAAAAGATGTGTTTTTATATCCCGATTTTCATACACCGCCCGGCGGACATGTTTGCCGAATACTACACCGTAAACAAATACGGTAATGTACGCAGTCAATGGATTATTTACTTATCTGTATGGAACAGAAAATGGATAACATTTATACTGGGACTTTTAAATTGAATTGCCAATAAGTAAAAACGATTTTTTTTATTATTGTTCGCTTCATGCTACGACTGGAAACAATTTTAAGTTTCGTAGTAATATTAGTCGGGCAAGTACCGCATGTATGAAACGTTGTTGGCACGTACCTACCAATTACATAGTTAATTTTAATAGTGGGAAATTATTATTAGGATTTTCCGATTGTGTAACTTTAGTCAGTGTTGCTAAATAAATATTTTTATTTATTTAAAACACTTCTTGCACACAAACGTGTATAGATATATAAAGTGGGCTAAATGCCGTGTGTATTTTCTACCAGCCAAGCCTTTAGGGGATGCAGAGATGCAGAGCCAATAGTACCTAGATACTAGAAGCAAGCACAGTCCGGAAATATAGAAATGTGACTAAATATCAAATCTGTTGAGCGGAGTAAAAACCTGGATATAAAATCAACCTTTTATTGGTCATCTTAACGATGTCGGAAACATAACATTATTGATAACCCACGCCATAGGATAATAAGAGCAACGATTTAAAAAAATCAATTAAAAGTCTAGAAAGAAATTAGGAGATATTACTTGTAAGAAATGGTTTTATTGATAGACAATAGAGTGCACCGGATAAATGATACAGTCTCGTTTAATTTTCTATATTAGGTATGTAAACTGAAGACTTTCACGTGAAATACTCACGTGAAAGTCCATCATAGTTTTGATTTTATGGGGGGGAAATCATCTAATGGCTTCTCCCGTCCGGGTTAGGTGAGAGGGGAAGTCAGAAATAAAGAAAAAACATTTATTCAGCACCAGGCACGATGCCGCATAAATAAAATATAAAAAATGACAATAAAGGTGTGACAGACAGAAGTAATAATAACATTGAGTTGAAAATTAAACAGAAGAATTAGAAGAGAAACGCTGACAACATACCTATGCTAAAAGGGTCACCCACTCAGTGTAAGCCAGGCATACATGTCACCCAGCACTGATTTTCAGTGAGCACGCAAGTCAGTCTCTTATTGACTAAAAACCACCCCGTTCGTAGGAACGAGGCTACAGGACTGCTCTTGTGCTTCGAGCCAATACGGTTTCGTATGGGCACCAGCTTTATTGGGTCCCATGTGTAGTGGTCTGATGGGTCGTAGAAGCGCGTTCTGGTCGGGCGGCGAGCTACCCATGCTCGCCGTCCGCAGGCCCGTAGTTACGGTGGCAAGGCCATCAGAGTAAATTAGAAATGAATAATGTAAGATTTTTACTCAATGAATACAAGTGGGCCTAACGTGTCCCTGCTATACAGGTTAAGTAGCCGTGATTTAGAAAGATTATAAACTAAGTATAAATGATTTAATAAACATCGACCTAAATTATTGTTCTTATTTACTCGTAGTTAGAATAAATACTTCTCTACTCTATTGTGAGGACGTAGAAACGTGGACAATAAAATGATATAAATATTTCAATGTCAGTTATAACGTACGTGAAATTATGAATCTTTTTATAGAAACAATGACATGTGGGAACAGAGAATGACGTCACTGGCGAGAATTGATATACATACCTATCTATTAGTATCTATCTCCCTATTTTGACACGGGAATTATGTAGGTACGTTGCTTTTAATCGTATGTATAAAAAGATGCGAAAGTTTACATGTTTTTTGTGGAGGTGGAGTTTTGAATCTAGATGAAACTGGATGCAGAGAAAGATTGTAAATAGTATTAAAAAAACACATAGGCTATTCACTACAAACGGTGGATAGAGGCGTAAAGTTAATCTATTAATATATTTAAATAATCTATATACAAAAATAAAAATATCAAAGCACTTATATGTACTTAGCAAAAATGCATATAACCATATATCACACAATATTATAAATGTGAAAGTTTCTTCGTTCGGATGTTTGGATGTTTGTTCATCAATATCGCTGAAACTACTGAACAGTTTTGATGAAATTTTATATACAAGCAGGGTATGGACTGACTTAGGTGATAGGATACTTTTATCCCGATTAAATGCTCCCAGTAATCATATTCTACGCGGATAAACTCGCGGATAGTAAACTAGTTTTACGTAATTGTAACATATTCTTATTTATTTCTGCAAACAAGCGTAGAAAAAGAAGGTGACTCTGATTTCTATATTTCATCGAACATGTTACAAACAAACTTCATCGACGTCGTCATGGAAAAAGCTATCTATAACTTGCAAACAACTATTTCGAATATCAGCGATACTCCGAACTACTTTCCGACTTACTAAGTAGTTGGTCTTTGTCAAATGTACATAACTACTTATAAACACTCTTCATCACTTCATCATACATACAAAGCTATGAAAGTATGAACAAATAAAAATGTACACTATAATTATAACATATTAATAAGTATAAGTTTCAACGCCTGTATAACATTTAAATATAAGTACATTTAATTGTAATGTCTAGCGACTCGACCCCGCAGTCAAACCATTGCAACGGTTTTGTGGGGTTTAGATTATTAAAAACTTACTTGTGATATAAAGATAAATAAATAAATAATAAAAATAACATCACGCCTTTTACCCCCGAAGGGGTAGGCAGAGGTGTGCATTATGACACTGTACAATGTTACACCCACTTTTCACTATTTATGTAATGAGTCCCATGTAATAGGGGTAAGCCTATTGCCATATACCGGGCACAATAAAATTCTAGACTCCGTGCTACCACTGAGAATTTATAAACCCAGTAATACTTCGTCCGACCCGGGAATCGAATCCGAGACCCCTTGCCCGGCAGTCGCACTTGCGACCACTCGGCCAATGAGGCAGTCATCATCAACGTAGAATATAATTACCTATATTGTAATGAAAATAAAAAAAATGAAAACAAGCATAGCCATTCAACGTCGCAATGCTGCCAGTCTTCTGGGAACGTTCCCCGGTGATAGTGATGCGGACGAATACCAATTTTGACGCCTAATTAAAGGTATAATTTTTGTTGTTTTATTTCTTTTTACTTTGTTTTTATCCACTAGTTTAGTTGTATAGGTTCGTTTTAAGTTGTAAATATTTATGTACATAGTTACAATCGTTACTCTAAACAGAATAAATCGCTAAAAATGTATGTAAGCTGTATGAAAACCAATCGATTGTAATGTATTTTGAAAAGTTACAGGAGAGCCTCATTGAAATGAACCTCATTATACTGATATACGACATATTCATTTAAAAAGTGAAATGTCTATGTGTCAGTAGTCAATGATTTTGTCAATAAATCTGTAGGGATTATACACGAACGGGTAGGTCTATGAGCCACTATGAGGTGATTGCTATTGGCCTCCATTTTGAAATATCTGTGAATCATTTTTTTTTGTTTATGTTTTTTCTTTTTATTGGGTTGTTTGTCTTCGATTGTAACATATTATCCAATGCATTTTACTATGTATATCATTTGCATGCTTAAATGGTAAAATATGGCTGAACCTGTATTTTTATGTCACCTGTAATTGTTACCCATATTTGCAAAATAAAAGTATCTTTATCTTTATCTTATCATTATTTACCTAGCTTCGAGATGGTTTCTTGGAAAGCAACCTTTTGCCTGTGACAGTACGTCTCTACACTCCTGTGACCTCTTTTATAGGAATTGGATGAAAGAGCTTCAGTAAATAGTTGAAAAATTTAAAATTATGGACATTGTCAAAAATGCATATGCATATATGCTAATTTAAATAACTATTTTCAATTACTTAAAATTTCTATGTCTACATCGACAAACTTTCTTTATTATTTAATTTTTAAGTCGTTTTATGTGCAAAATAAATTGATTGAATATTTCTCGCAACTCACACGAACGGACTACGACAACAGGCCAGGAATCGCACCTGAGACACAGACCGGGAATAGTTTTATCACACACTTACAGACGACGTAGTTATACACGTACTTTGTAATGGTCAACTTAGCAATTAATAAAACCTCTCCTATTACAGATAGGACGTTCTTCAAACACTGTGGTGGCGCTAGTGAACCTCACACAGGAGTCTGCAGGACATTACCGCTGCGAAGTGTCCGGAGAAGCACCCTCATTTGCCACAGTATACAGACAAAAATACATTAACATACACTGTAAGTCCCTAACTTTATTCTACACCTTATTCACTTAACCACACTCGTGCCCTTATTAACATAACCAAGTCAAATTATGCCAAAACTGTCGCCGGCCATGTTGACCACAGAGTAAACATGTTTATTTTTTGGTTTTTACGACGCCAAGGTGTTGAGTTTCGAATTTGGAGTAAAATAATAAAAATTTAAGTTTAGCGTTTGTTCTATTTAACTGTAACACTTTAGTCACGTTAAATTAAGTGAACAAAAACCGAGCTTTTGTTTTTTAATACAACACCTTTACTTTTTTTATTACCCGTTCTTTTTTCAAATACAGATATTTTATTTTTCTTGCGTCATCATTTTCAGTGCTTCCAAAAGGTGGACCCCGAGTAATTGGTCTCAAAGAGCAGTACAATTTGGATGATCTGGTTGTGGCAAACTGTACGCTGCCACCTTCTCGTCCAAAGGCGCATTTAAAATGGCTCGTCAACGACAAGCCTGCTCCCTCTTCCTACATTCTGGGACCCTGGTACCGAGTGTCGGCTGAACGACCTGATGCTGCTGAAACTTTTCTGCAGCTGAGTTTTTTCGCAACCACTTCTGATTTTGTTAATGGTGCCATCAAATTAAAAGTAAGTCTATCATTGAAAATGCCATAACTATCAAGTACATCTACCTACTCCATGTCTTAATGCAATTTCCTTGATAGAACTGTCAAAACTAAAAAGAACTTTTGGATTCAAAAGATTATGTGGCTCGAATGAAAGCCAAAGCGCTCACAGCTATATTATATACTATTTGCACCTACACACGCACCATAGCTTTTCTTCACCTCATTTGTTTACTCAAAAGCATAGCAGCCAGCAGTACATGTTTCCAAAAATGCAATTTGTGTTCACTGCACACATGAATCTTTTGACTAGGTACTTTTTTATTTGTACTTTCGCTTTAAACTGGCAGTGCTATCTCGAAAATGCTTTCATATTCATTCATTTATATTTGTTTTAGTGCCAAGCTACGATTGCACCTCTCTACCAAAGAGAGACGGAGTCCACCCATTATATATCTCTACCTTTTTCTATGGCTGCTCATCCACCTGAGGCAAAGGAGATCAGAGGTAGGTAAAGGTATACAACAGTGTACGGACTCACAAATAAATTACTTCACATAATATGTAGCAACAGCACTTCTGCTCATCATGTTCTTCATAATTAGTGATATTAATCACGGCCTTTCACTGCAACCTGAGACAAACTGCTATAATTTTCTGTTAATCGTTATAAATAAATATATTTTGCTTAGCAAATGAAATGTTGACGGTAATGTTAATATTTTAAAACTAATTAATAGCTTTAGATTTAACTGTGTGTGTAACATCTAATATGGAAATCATTAAACGCTTTACTTACATATTCTGTTGTTTTATTTTCAGACATCGCCTCGTCGGTGGAAAATACGTTAGCAACTATAATTGTACCAATTATGATCTTAATATTAATGTAATAGTACCGTGATATCACAATTAAGTGTAGGTGGTCAGAAATGTGTACGAAAAAGTTTTATATTATTTGTTTGACAAATCTTCTACGGATCACGTTTCGAATGTTTCGTGGAGAGACGTGGTGAATACAATGTAGGACGTTTTAGATACGGTTAAACAATTCTTTGGAAGTTCACACAACTTGAACATCAGGAAACGTACATGTTGGGTAGCTATACATGTATGCACATGTACATGTCTACGACCAACTAACTAGGGAAGTTGGTCCTACTACGCAGCAAAGCGCTTGCAATCTTGAATAGTTTCGTTTCGGAACCTTACAATTATACTACCTTCGAAAGTTACGCATTATACTGAGAAGAATTTCTCTATAGCATTTCAATGAACTGTAGCCATAATAAGGAGAGCTTTAGCGATACATTAGCATTTTAATTTTTACTGAAATTTCCACCTTAAGTAATAAGTACACAATAAAAAAAATGCACACCATTTAAATATGCTTACTACTTTTTTTTTTTTGTTTGCTTCACCAAAATAAATTGGAGTTGGCAATCAACTATAGCATTGTTATCGATATTCTTAAAGGATACCTTTAATGCCAATATGTTCACAGAATCAAAAGAAAACTAGCATATTTTGTTAGATAAAAAGTGCAGCAAAACAAACCTCACTATGAAGTTTCATAAAATATCGTTTTACTATATCTGTGGTTCTTGCAGACCTATATGCCTAGGTTATTTTTTCTCAATTGCCGTATCAAGTGCGGTTGTAGCTAGAAAGACAAATTGCGGGCTTGGTGTTTTTTATTTTATTTCTTTCCCAATAAAAAGTAGTAGCCTAGCAAAACAATTTTCGACCTCTTAATTGAAATGCACTTTTCGCTGGCGAAAAATCTTTCACTATATTTCTACGTTGCTGCTTTTAATAAAATACAAGTTTTGGTTTGGTTTTACTTGGGTAAAATCTACATAAATGAAATCTTTATCATTATTCAGATTCTGTGTTTTTGTGTCAGTGAACTTCACCTAAACTGCTGAACCGATAAGGATGAAATAATGTAGTATGCCTATTTTTAAGATGATTTGAGAGCTCCATGCTTAGTTGCTTAGTAAGGCCTTGTTTAGTTAAGTACAAATTAATTAAATGATTCGATGCTACTTTATTTAAGGTCAAAAAATGTGCACTGGCCATAATCGTCAATAATACACATTTTGGCTACCTTTCAAAGAAGAAATAAATAAAGATGTAAGTTATTTTTCGATGTAGATTTTAAAACGTATACTTGTAAACTAAGTAATGAGGTGTAACATTAGAACAGCGTTGATAAATATTCAATTTTATAGCATTATAATAATAATTTTTACATGGCTTTAATTTGTATCCGTGAAATATAAGTAATATGAGCTTGAAGTTATATGGAGATTAAGAATAGAATGTTAGTATAGTGTTCGTTTGGGCAATTCAGGACGAAAAAAATGGTCATTGATAATTTCGACTTTCAAAGTTATGTAGTAAAGAACATGAAGAAAGAAAACAAAGGTGTCGTCTTGTTAAGTTATACTGACCAAAGTTTTTTAGATAGAATAATGCTTAAAGAGCATCAAATATAGGGTGAGATTCGACACACGAGGTTAATGGTACTTTAACTAGTATATACATCGGCAGTGGCTTTTATGTCCTTTTGGTACTCATTTTAAGGTATAGCCAACTAACAAAATTATATCAATAAAATAGTCTCCATGAGCGAGTTCAAGTCACAAACTGCTTTATGAGGTATAGTTAATTAATCTCATCCCTTTTTCCACTATTAATTTATCCATATTATATTTTATTTATGGTTTCTTTTCGTGATACACTGATGCATTCGAACCAAATAATTTATATGGTTTTACATAAATTATTTATTAGAACATTATTTTCTTTATTACTTTTTTGTAATATTAATGTGTGATTACACCATACTAATTAGAAAGGTTGTGATAGTGATATGACTGCTTTGCATGACAACGATTGTACTTTACAAATAAAGGAATTATAGTGAGTTATAAAACGAGCATTTTTTTATATTTAGTTTATTTACAAAGCTTTATAATTCATTTAGGTGTGTAAGTATGGAACCTACTAAAGCGTTTTCTGTCTATCGTTTAAGGAGTTGCTATCGTTGTTGTATTTTAATATCCAGATCCTCGCGGTCCACTTGGTCCACCACTAGGGTAGCCTTCTTCTCCATTTCCACCGTTTTGAGATCCACGTCCTCTACCTCCATTCTGGCCTCCAGATCCACCTCGACCACCTTGAGGTCCACTTGGATAACCATTGCCATTACCATTACCTCCAGGGAACCCTTCACCATTCCCACCTGGACCACCACTGGGGTAACCACCATTACCACCTCCAGAGCCACTACCTGGGAAGCCACGACCACCCTGTGGACCACCACTTGGATATCCATTCCCTTGCTCACCGCCGTTTAAATCTTCTACACCTGAGCCTGACGGGAACTGAGAACTTAGTTGGCCACCCTGGCTACCTCCTCGACCATTGCCATTCCGTCCATTGCCACCGGGTCTCCCACTTGGATAACCCATGAATCCTTGGCTTCCTGAGTCGCTCTGACCGAAACCGCCTTCTTGGTATCGTCCGAGGCTCCCTGACTGATCTTGTCCTGAATTTGGATATCCACTATCACCTCCCGGGAAGCTGCCACCGGGTCCACCTTGTGGGTAGCCTTGACCGCCGCCTTGCCCACCTCCACCTCCTATGAATGATTTGAATAATGATACTTTAAATACTTTGACATTATATTCAAATAAAGAACCTTTTAGTTCTCAAACAAAATTTTGAGAAACTTGGGAGTAAATATTGTTAGCTGTTATTTCAATGCAAATTATTCTGAGGACTACTCCTATATTTGTTAAGATCAAATAAAGTTAACTATTGGATTACTTATAATAAATTTACTATAAAAAGTAGTAAATAAAATTATTACCACCACGACCGAAACCGTTTCCAGAGCCACCATTGCCCCCACCTGATCAAAATGAACAAAAATTAATTTTACCATTAATGGAATTCTTGGAAACAGCAAATAAAGTCCAACTATTAACAGCTTTGTTTAAGTACAATACTCGTTAATTTACGTAAATTTTATGAAAACTGCTAATTTAAAAACAACAACAATTTTCCAGAATAAAGTCGATTTTAGTTTATGTTTTGATTTCGGATCAAATAGCAATAATGTAATCGTGCGTCACATCGTTTATACATACTGATCTACTTTTAAATATTTCCAGAAGTTAGTTACTCTAATCATGGATGGAGGGGTGAAAAACTAGTCGCATAAGTTTTGTACCTAGAGACATTTTCAAATCAAATAAATATCTGAATGTACAAATACTGAGTTGTTTGATATGCAACGCAGCGTAAGCTATACAGGTGTCGCATCGCCAACCAAAACAAAGAACCAACCCTCGTATCGGATCTGAGGCATGTATCCTTGCAGGCCCGCCTCGTACTCGACAACCTGTCGCCTGCCATCGGGCAGCACTACGTTATACTCCCCAGTGGCCAGGTCGCCATCACGCTGCTCAGAATGACCAAATTTAGTACCTGTCTGAGCGTCGTCCACCTCATAACTAAACTCGTATTTAGCCGGCTCCTGAAATTGAATAATAAATGATAATCATTATTGATGATATTTATTTGTATAATGGCATTATGTACTGGAGTAGAAGTTTTATTTGCATGTTTCTCACAAAGACTAGAAAGATTCTTAGCCAATTTGGGTCCTCTAAAATATTTAGTCTGATTACACCATGGAGTCTAATATGACCCCGGGGTTGATGATGATGCATAACAAAATTAAATAAAGAGTTATTGGCATAGCGCAACAGGCTGCCAGTGGCCTGTGTTGATCTATGCCGTGCGATAATGATATTAAAACAAGTTAAACAACTTACATTAGATTGTCCATCGTCATAGTTAGATCCACGACCATTGCCTCTTCCCCCTGGACCTCCAGAGCCACCAGGACCGCCACCAAATCCAGGAACACCATATGACGATGATGGCTGACCACCGTTGCCGTTAAATCCACCAGCACCAGCAGACGCTTGAGATCCAGCGCTAGGTGACAAATAGCTTGAGTCAGGCCCACTTTGAGATCCTTGACGCTGGTTTCCTGACTGACCGTTGCCTGAAGATTGGAAATCTCCAGTAGGCGGTGGTCCATATGAGCTATCTGGTCTTTGACCGAAACCTGGACCACCTCCATTGGATCCCCCCTGTTGATTGGGCGGACCATAAGACGATTGAGGTCGGCCTCTACCGCCGTTCGAACCACCAGGGCCGCCTCGACCACCGGCACCTCTTCCATTCGGTCCCTGGCCATTACCAGCTCCTGGGGGGCCGTATTGTGAGTCTGGTGGACCGCCTTGGAAGTTCCCAGGTCTTTGTTGAGAGCCAAAACCTTGTGATCCTTGACCATTGCCTCTTGCAGATGGTGGACCATATTGCGTATCAATAGCTGGTCCTGTTTGTCCATTTGAGTAAGAATCTTGTCCGCTTGGACTCAAACCACCACCTGGTTGAGATCCGCCCGATGGTCCGCCATTACTCCCTGGCGGACCATATTGTGACGATGGTCTACTACCAGAGCCAGAAGGAGGGAGGTAACTATTCACAGGAGGCTCACATCTGCTTGACGGCCACGCAAGAGCGGTGAGCAAAAATATATACTGAAAAAAGTAAAATTATTTAAAACACAGTACATAGTGACATCCCCAGAAGTTATATTTTACTTTTATTAATTTAGTTTTTCGAGTGTCTTAAGTATTTATGATAGATATTGAGAAATCCATTAAAAGTGAATCTTAGAATAAGATCGAAAAATACGTTTTCACATACGAGGGGTAAGTAGGCACATACTTGCTATGCTACTTGGTAAACAACAAGGCAATAAATATTAGATGTACCATGAATCCATAGGTAAACAGAAACACTTACTAAAATCATCACTGGGGAGTTTTCATGTAACCTTAAAGCTAGCAAAGCTCTGAAGATGTGTTACTTAGCTAAGTTTTAGCTTTGGAATACATTAAATTTGAATAGTCGCTGTTTATATAGGGACGGTGGTAGTGAGCGTGATACTGATACGATGCAAGAGCTCACGCGTGAGTTTTGCACCTAGATTCGTGCATCTGCCTAGCGGCCGTCACCGAGCGGCGCCCGCGACGCGTCACCGTGGGACTCCCGGACAAACGCCAACGCCACATGCAGCAAATAATGACTCGGTTACGTGACGAACACACAATTAATAGGTATCGACAAAATACTCCCATTTATTTTAGATAAATTGTTCGTCTGTCGTGCAGCAAAATTTATGAGCATAGAAATAATATTTTACAGTAGGTATTTCACAAATATCAGATGTTTGGGTACAATTTGTGAGATTTATTAATTCTTTCGACATTTATCATTATTCATTTTCTTCTGATATATTTGTTATTTGTTAAAAATATCACGTGTTGACAACAATGGATGTAGGTTAGATGCGCCATGCAACGATATGGTGTGTGCAATACGCAGTAACTCTGCACGCAATACAATCATTTTAATGTAATATGGTATTGATAGGCGGCGTTTAATTTTGTTATTTCAGTTTTTCTTCTATTTATCTTTTGAAAACAATGGGTTCAAAAGGACTATAAGGAAATTGAAAGTAGAGTTTAATTAAATTTGTTACAATATACACATCTGCCTTCTCCATCGAGGTTAAAGGCCTAATGTTTATCTTAATCCTAAATCGTAAAATCCTATTTTGAGCTATAAACCGAAATTTAATACCTATATAGTTTAAGTCTCTGGGATGCAATCTTGCGTGGTATAGAGAGGATCAGACTAGACGTGGGCACACCATATTTTTATCTTACGAAGGCCATGTGAGTGACATCGATGCAGTTACTATCACTAAACCTACGTGTCTTCATACCTACAGTTATTATTTGAGACCATTATATATTATTTTACCTATATTTAAGTACTATTTCAAATTGTCAAACATTAATTTACTAGTATTCCACGCACGAGTTTGCCTATGTAAAAATATGTTCGATCTTCTTAGGTGTTCACCAATTTCAGGATAGAAGGTATCATATTTTTTTCAGTGTTTGATCATAAAGTAATTCAAAACATTCATGCATTAAAATTGTAATTTATTTTAATAATAAGGGCGAGATATAGTTTTATCTGTTTATGTAATATCATCTCACAGACATTTTGTTGAAGTTGAAGCTACGCTAAATAACTTAGGTACATCCAGACAAAACCAGGGGCCCTAATGCTTATTTACAAATATATATGTGATGGTTGTTGATAAATGGAACATTGTATCCGTGATGTCGAGCCGTGCGGTGATCTGTGTCATCCTCGCTAGTTAGCGAGTCGTGCGCTGCGTTGCAACAGAGGCAAGCCGCCCATTGCGCCTGCGCCGCGACGCTTTGATAACATACTGCGAAACTTTACACTTATAATGATCCTTATGAGTTCACGATATTTGGAGTCGTTATGTGTCTCACATAATGTTTTGTATTTACGGTTATTACCGTCTCACACGCAGTTTCTGCGAGGACTAAATACATAGTTGTCATTTATTGTTTTGCATAATGTTCATGATTACGATGTAGGAAGTCTTTACTTATAGTAGAAATCGTAGCATAGGGTGATATTAAAATGGAGTCAATTCTCACTACAATACTGATAGGGAAAAGCAATATTACAACTTTTATTACAGTCTTTATTACGCTCCATCAACAGCCTACACAAAATTATTCCCTTTCTACAGTAATCGGAAAAAATAACTTTAATTCGTGAACAAAATTGTAGGCCAAAACTAGTACGTACATGAATTATATTCCTACAAACGTTTTGAACCTTCACGTGATTACTGATTCAGTAGCAGGCTTTATATCTAATGAATATGGACTATGGACTTTTATGGACATCGCTATCTTGTTTCACAGATAATGACATAGGATGCTCTATTGCAGAGGTGATCAACATGTTTAAGCCTAAGATTTTACTTTAAAGTACATAAAAAAAATCTTTTTATTATAATTGTTACTCGTTTTTTTTTCTGTTATGTCTTAATTTTCATGCATTTTAAACTTATAATTCCACATTGCTTATTATTTTTCAGACTCATATATTCGAGAATCTCGATAGTTGCGCTTATGACCATCAAAATTAATCCGTGTAGCATTCGATTGAGTAAAAAGTCTTACCAACAACAGAAAATGTTCTTGCCAATATTTTGTTTGCATTAAAACATCAAGTGTCGCATCTAACCATAAATAGTATCTGAGTGTACAACCTCATTTTTTCTACAACTACATCAATCGATCATTTGGACTGATGCCTGCTGATGTGGATGTCACTGGTTCGATAGTCAGCAACAAACCAGTTGACAACTCCAACTCTATTGCCACATATTACACTTAACTCGTCGAGTACCGGTTTTGCAGACACAATTATAGAACAATAGGTTGCGGTCACCGGTGACCGCTTGGTATTTGACAGTTTAATATAAGTTGTACGTTGATATTTAGTTAATAATAATACATTAGGCTTATTTTGATTTTAACGAAGCCATAACAATAGGATCCTGCGCTCAACGTAGGCTATAAACTACTCCTTTAAGCCTACATATTTGAAACAGTTGTGCGCCATGGTTTCATCTGTAAGTTCTAATCCTAAGAGGAAATTCGGTACTATTTTAGTATTTTATACAACAGAAGTTTTACGCCTATCTCCACAAGCAGCATTCAGCAGTGCAGGCTTTCATTCAGCTGACATACGTATTTTAGCTGATGATGGTGATGTCACCAAGAAGACAAACAAACACTGGATCCAATAATATAACAGGTACATTAAATTGAATTAAATCAAATACAAGCCACGAAATTCCCAAGAGCTGTGCATGTAAGCATTGCCTAATAAGCAGTCTAATATGATTCGTGAGTCACTAGCGGACTTACTGAGAATCGATGACGCTCATTGTTCATCATTATCAGCTATTCCTAATGCATAAATCCTACATCGTTATGGTGTAGTCTGGTACAATTGTGTTGCACTCTATGCCAATATACTCGAAAGTGGGTCAGCGAGACAGATTGATGACGTATGCTGGCACCGCATCGCTTCAAACCGACGACCCTTTGTCGAATGTCCGTACTATTGTAGGTACACTTAAATAGATTGGACTATCCTGCTATTTACTCTACGCATCTGTGATCTCGTATTTGTAAGTAGGTAGGGTATGTACGTGGTGTTTCATCCGTTATTGGTCGAAGAAATATGACCATGTGCATGGCACCTCTTTCACCGAATTAAAAGACTACTAAGCACATTAAAAATCCGATGTAATGTGAAACAAAACTACTTACTACATCAGGTCACAACTTTTGAGTTTATTACCTACTAGCTGCCTGCGGCTTTGCCCGCGTTCTCGTGGGATAAAATTGCCTATGTGTTAGTCCAGACCATAACCTATCCCTGTTCCATTCTGATGCCCTCAGCTGTTTTAATGTGATTGATTAACAAACATATACACAAACGCACCAAGTCACAACAAGTCGCATTTATAATATCAGTAAGATATTTTTTCCCTTCTTTGGCAAGTGAGTCTCCAAAACGATCTTGTTGTCTATACTGCCAGTGTCCAGTGGTGACGACAGTTTAATGAACCGTCGAAATTAACTTTGTGGTAGTCTTTAGTTGTTAGTAGTTGAAAGGACAAAACACTTGGGTAAGTGAACATAGGTATAATTATTATCAACTAATCAGTAAGATTAAACTGTTGCGTTTGCAATTGTCATCAGTCAATTAAAGGTATACTACAGCAACAGACTTAAAAAAATATGGTTAATGTGAATCACACAATATGAAATACACAAACACAGACTATTATTTATTTTGAATTTGTTGACGTTTCAAAAATACTAATTGAAATAAATGCATTGACTTTGACTTTGAAATATACACCCGCCACTGAATAGTGAAATATGGGGTTTTCGTAAAGGCATTCCCATTCGGCCTCATCGTTCGCTTGATAAAATTGACGTGTAAAAGTGCTGCCTTGTAGCCTATTTGCAGAAATAAATTTACTTGTTTCACCAGAAAATTCTAATGAAATAAATAATAAAAATATTTGCCTCTTCCATGAAGTACCTATGTGAGAACCTCACCATATACGTTTACAGGAATCTCCAAATGTGGGTTAGACAAAAAAACAAACTGCTTAAAATATCGATATAATCTCATCATTTATAATATTTACATTTCATTACTTTTACAGAACCGGCACAATTTAGTTGTATCAAAAAAAAAATTAAGTAAAAACGCGGGTTACTCACGTGAATATACTGAGAAAAGCTCTACTAGTTTCGAACCACAGAGGGGTTCTTCCTCATGAGCAGCGTGCGCGGTCGCGGTGACCCCTCTGTGGTTCGAAACTAGTAGAGCTTTTCTCAGTATATTCACGTGAGTAACCCGCGTTTTTACTTAATTTAGTATGTCTCACGATAGTTATTATAAAACACAAAAAAAATTGTTAATTAATACAGAATTGTATGAATGTCCTATGGGGGTAGGTACTAGGCAGAGACTATGGAATGCCAATTGATACGATTCTTACATACCTTACGCAAGTGCGACTGCCGGACAATGTATGACAGGGTTTTTAAAAAAAATCTCAGTAGTAGCACGGAGTCTGGAATTGTGCCTGATATATGGCGATAGGCTCACCCCCTATTACATGGGACTAATAACATAAATAGTGTAATGTGAGTGTTACATTGTGTACAATGTTGTACATTACGTAATGCCTACAGGCATTAAGTGCTGTAATGTAGAGGTACAACTCTGTCTACCCCTTCGGGGGTAAAATGCGTGATTTTATGTTATGTTATGTCTTATATACCTACACCTATCTGGATACGAAGAAAACAAACAGGAAAAGTTAAAATAAATCCCGGGGACAGAATTTAATGAAGTTTGGCTCAATAAACCAGCTAGCTGCCGGGAATACCGGTTGGTATGACAAAAAAAAAATTAGATACCGATGCCTTTTTTTATAAAAACATGAATTGAAATAAGATGGCTTAAGAAAATCATAAACACAATCTGTGGT